CCCTGAGCTAGGGCTGCCACTCCGAGGCGGCCAGCCCATCCCTGGCCAGTGGCATCAGGGGCACCCGCCATGCCAGCCTCCCTCCCCTGTCCCTGAGAGGGCACCTTGGACAAGACACGTGTGTGACCAGGATTGAGAAGACGCAGGCCTTCAGTGACAGGCCAAGGAGGTGACCCAACCACCCGGTGGCCTCAGACGTGACAGAGGGACCAGGCCTGGGGGCTGGCCTCCCAGATGGCCACACATTCAAGGCCCTTTCGTCACAGGGACAGCAGGCAGAGCATTATGGGAGTGGGGACGCACGTTCAGGTCCCACCACGAGAAAACGATGTGGAAGAAACCGAGGGGGGCCGCTCCATGACCTAGTGGTTAAGGGGGCTGGTGTTCATATGGCCAACCATGGTTCAAATCCCAGACCTGGAGGCTTATAAAAACATGGCGGGCATTGTGCGTGTGCGTGCCCTGAACCCCGACAGGATGGAAAACGGAGGAGAAGAGATGGCTCCCACTGAGGGTGCGACCTCCCTCTCCCTCTGTCTCGGCACACACCACCCCCTCTGCTAATTACAAAGAAAGAAACAGAAGATTCGAAAACTGATCAGCAACAGGGGCCAGGTGAACCTCCGGCAGGACTTGGGCCCGAGTGTGCTGGTGCATTTAGGTGGGTGCCAGGGCGTGGTGGTCCCTGGTGACAGGCCCGGTAGGGCTACGAGCAGCTGTAGGGGTGCAGTGACTGGCCATGGAGGCTGGGGGGACCAGCTGCCCGTCCCCTCTCCCCCACCACGACCAGCCCACGGCCAGGACAGAAAAGCGACCTGTGGAAGCCCTGAAGGCAAACACAGGGGTTCTCGAAAACAACCTCGGGGGTGGGCCAGGTCTACCCACCCATGTCGTAAATCTCCAAGCCATTAAGAGACTAATTAACATAAAAAAAAAAAAAAAGAAAAGAAAAGAAACCATTTGTACATCGCACAAGTTAAAAGACGTTAAGAGAGGCTGGGGGGCTCTGCACCGGGGCAGCTCGGATCACAGCCCAGACACGGGCCAGCTGGAGGGGAGGCCGGGCTGAGAGGGAGGGCAGAGGGCCGCCCAGGGCCAGGCCGGCGAGGCGCACACCACACACACGTGTAAGCAGATACACACACATGCGTCTACTCCCACACATGCAGACACACGCATACACATTCGTGATCCAATACCATGCACACAGACACACGGAGACACTCACGTACCCGCACACAGCCTCCTCGTAGACACACAGGCACACACGCAGGTGCTCACACACTCATAGACACGGGCATTCACAAATAAATGCACACACACACACACACACACACACAATCACAGACACGCTCATGCAGTTGCACATACAGCCGGTAAGCAGGTGGACGGCTGGCCGCCGGGAGCAAATGCAGAGAGAATCACACCTTGTCTAACTGAGCAGACAGGCAACCATTAGAAACACAGGTAACCCTTGGGACCAGCACTTGGCGTAATGGCTATGTCGCTGGACTCCCACGTAGTCGACCGCGGTTCGAGA